TTCCTCAGGTGCTGCTACATCCTCTTCCTCCTCTTCACCTTCATCCAGTTCCATAACAGCTGCTGTCATGTTAACATTAGCTGAGCCATCAGTGTCCAGTGCATCACAGAATGGAGTGTCAGTTGAGTGCAGGTGACAGCAGGACTTGCTACAGCACTTTGCACTTAATGGCTGTTGTGGGCCACGACTTTTTTATACTGCACAGTGGCACAAAAAAAATCAGACAAGCACTATTTTATATTTAAAAATTGTTTCTTGACAAGCTGACTTGGCACTTAAGTGCACTTTTTTTTATGAAGAAAAAGTACAATGAACTGCTTTTCCTCAAGCAATAATTGTTTCCAACTTGTCTGGGAATTGTGTGTCTGGTAACTTGAAGGCCTTCCACTGTGGCAAATGGAGGCTTTTCACTGCCTGTAGAGACAGTACAGTAAGCAGAGTGAGGGGTGGGCCGGAATATGTTAAGATAACTTACTGTATAGGTATTCCCTTGTATTTTGTTAAAGCTGGAACATTTGATATTTTTCCATTTATTTATGAAAAAATATGAACCTATTTTCATTTGTACAAGCTAATTGTTTTTTAAAGCAAGTCACTTTAGGGTGGCTTTAATTGTATAAGTCAAGCACATATAATAAATTCAAAACCTGCAGTTAACAGGATATTAGACATCAGTCCTGGTAACCAAATATTAAAGATTCTCTTTAAAAAAGACTGAAGATGTTTACAGGTTTGAATTAGGCCAAAAGGTCCTTCAGTGGCTTTTCATGCCCTTCAACTTGGAATGGAACTACTGTACTTTGCCATTTTTCTATAAATCAGTATTTTTTTTTAATTTTGATATAATACATTGTGTGAAAAAAGAAAATGGCTAATAAACTGTATTAAATCTTAATGTATAAAGATTGTAGCCAGTTCAAAGTGTATATTTATTCATAATGAATTATAACAGTTATATTTTTGTGTTTTCTTGTAAATGTTTCTTTTCCCTTAAATACAGATAATTCATTTGTATTGCTTATTTTATTATGAGCTTACAACAAAAAGACTTCAGGAACAAAGTGTGTTAGTGTGGCTCAAGGTTGAATATATGGCCTGTCTCACAAAGATGGTTGTTATTTTAAGTATAAATAGCTAATTGGGATAGTAGGCCTACAAAATTACATGCCTTGTATAAAACCCAAAACGAACGCAAGATTGTTTTCACTTGTTTTGACTTTATGTTGTATGATTCCAATCTCTGTTCTGTTTGGCACTTGTATTTAATTCTTCACCTTTGTAAGACATTTGTATATTGCGGATGTGTTCATTGAAGCTATTTAATACCTGGCACTGTTAATACACAGTACTTTACTGTACAGACTGTTTTACTGTTTTAATTGTAGTTCTGTGTGCTTTTTTTGAATGGGGCTGGCATGTTTTATTTGTCTCTGGCAGTATGACGTGAGAATCTCAAAGCGTTTTGTTGTAGATGCTAACGTGTCAGAGTCCTTACTCCTTTACATCTAACTTTTCTAAGAAAAGCATTTTCAGTCTTGTAGTGTGCTTACAGTAACTAATTTTGTTGAAAATGGTTTCAAGTTCTTCAAATTTGTACAGGACTGTAAAGATTTGTTGACAGCAAAATGTTGAAGAAAAAGCTTATAGAATAAGAGCTATAAAGTATATATTAGGATGTGCAAACACGAAGAATTATGTAATATATTGTACAAATGTAAGCAAAGGCTCTGAAATAAAATGCCATAGTTTGTGAAGCCTTGATTTTGTTTCTAAAAGGTTAAGTAGTTTCGTTTGTGTATGTGATGACTAACCAGAACATGTATGTGCAGCATGTATTTCCACAGGGGGTTAGACTGACATGGGAAGAAAAGAGAACATCCTGTCACTAAAAACAAAGAGCCTTTTATGACCAGGGCTGTGGGTGTAGCTCACTGGTAGAGCACATGCTTAGCATACATAAGGCCAGGTTCCATCCTCAACACTAAAAAAAAAGTGCGTTAACCAAGTAAGTGATTTTCTTTTTTGGCCTTCTTAGATCTTAGCATATATTATTATGCTTGAGTCTAAATGTAAATATTTTTGCTGTGATTTGGAGGCTTCCCAAAGTAGAAAATCAAACCAAAACATTAAATTGGTTCTTACTATATGTTTCCCAGGTTGCCTGGAGATTATCCTACCTCAGCCTCCTGAGTGCTAGGATCACAGACATGTACCATCACACTTAACTTTGTTGATTTTTTTTTAAAAAAGATCTTCAGTGGTTTTAATATGCACCTGAGTTAAGCCACTGCCTTGCCCCAAACCATTTAAAGTCAGTGATCCAGTTCCTTTGGTCCCATTTAGTGGTTTTTTCATCAAAAGAAAAAAATTCTCTTTGAAACAATGAAAGTAAATTTCTATAAGGTACAGAAGAAAGCTCAAGTAGTATTTTTATAGGTTTTTTTCTTCCTCCCTCCCTCTTTCCTTCTTTCCTCCCTCCCTCCCTTTCCTTTCTTTCTTCATTCATTCATTTTTGCATCACTGGGGTTTGGATTCTGGGCCTTGTGCTTGCTAGGCAGGAGCTCTACCACATGAGCCATACTAAGGCTTTTTGCTTTCTTTTTTCATTAGGGTCTAGCAGTTTTTCCTCAGGGGTGTGCCTGGACCGTTAATCCTATTTATACTTCTTCTAGCTGGGATGATAGGCTGAGCCACTGTGCCCAGCTTATTGGTTGAAGTGGGGTGTCACTAACTTTCTGCCCAAGTTGGCCTTGAGATCCATCCTCCCAATCTCCACTCTTAGAGTTATTGGGGACTACAGTTTTGAGTCACTGTGCCTAGCTCTGCAGTAACTTTTCTGGGAGGTGGGTACTGGAGCTTGAAGAACAGTGCTTCCCAAAATAAGTTGGTAGTATACTGATCTCTGGGAATGCTCATTGCATAGCACACGCCCTTGTTAGAGATTCACTGTACTGGCATATTTAACACTTTATCAGGGCTGAGGGCAGAGGGCAGAGGGTTGGCTAAAGTGGAAAAGTACCTGCCTAGCAAGTGTGAAGCCCTGAGTTCAAACCCCAGTACCGCCAAGAGACAAAAAACAAAAACAAATCCTTGAGAAGACTTTTAGAGGGACACCTGGTTAGACCTTTATCCAGCTGTTTGCATTCTTACCAGATCATGAAGCCTTAAGGTCACCTTCTGGCTCTTACAGAAACAGTGCTCCATGGGAGAATGATGCCAAATTATGTTGGAGAGTTCTGTCCTTGTTGCCCTTCTTCTTGGCTTCTCTAGAGGGCTTGGGAATTTCATTATACTACTAGAACGTCATCTACTCTAAACTGAATTATGTTAGTTTACATAATAAAATTAACTGTTTTTCCAAAAGTTTGCCTACTACAACTAGCACCCAGCTTATGACCTCTTAATTTTTAATGGTTTTAAACAGTTCTGAACGTCAGGGTATCTTAAGTTTCCTCTATACCTGTTGTCTTTCATTTTTTGTAAGTCCATTTTCCCACCTTCCAACTGCTATTTAGGAATTTTTGGCTAACATATTAGGAGGTTATGCATATATAAGTTGTCTTCCAGAAAAACAGTTTCGTGGCTTTGTGGAAGACACAAAATTAAGTGTTAAACTGCCGAGTCAGGGAGAACCAGTGTATAAGAGTTGAAAGAGAGCAGTGCAGGAACACACAGGAGCCACTATAACTGATGGTGCAATGCAGGATACACAAACCTTAGCCACTAAGGGAGAGTCACCTGGCACACCAGGAATGGAGGGGGCTAGTCCAGAACAGCAGACAGAATGAGGTTTTAGGGTTTCGGAATGGAACGCCACTTTCAATGTTGGGAAGACAGAAGAGGAAGTGGGATTGGGAGGAATTCTGAGGAAAACAATAGGATTTTTCCAGTGGACTTCACAGGACAGATGCTCAAGTTGCATGTCTTGCATGTGTGGATGGATTTTTCTCATCTTTGAAAAAGAGGCTCAGTTACCAAAACCAGGGCCAATCACTAGGATATTGTGGTCATCCGCATCCCATTTTTACTTTTATCTTTAGCCTCGAACTTTGATCCTCCAGCTTCAGCCTCCTGAGTGCGGGGATTTCAGGCATGTGCCACCAGGTCTAAGTTGAGTGTGTGTGAGGGGGTAATAAACTTACATGACAGGGCGACAACAGGTCACTGATAGTCCCAATGAGCTTGTGTTAAATAGCTTTCAAAAGCAAGGCTGGCAGGGCGTAGCAGTGTACCTGTAATCCTACTACTTGGGAGGCTGAAGTAGGAGGTGGTGAGTTCCAGGGCAGCCCTGGCTACTATCAGCACCCTGTCTCAAAAAAAAAACCTGTTTGCAATAGATTCAAAGTGAAAAGTCAAGTCAAATCACATCTTACCATTCAAACTACTGCATTCGGTGATCTTTTATTATTTAAAAGTCAGCTCAGCAGACGCTCGGTAGGTGCACTGAACAGGACTACAGCATAGGGATGAAGAAGACATATCTTTGCCCTCAGGTGTGTCCACCTGGAGAGGCTGCAAATGCGAAACACGATGCTGGTAAACAGTGGGGATCTGGGCAGAGATTTCCATCTCCATCTGCACGCGTGAACTGGCATCAGGTGGCTCTTGAAGGGTGGGCATTTTGCAGGAGGGGAGAGGACCGACTACTTGGCTTTTATTTTACTTTGCAGTAAAGTCAAACTTCCCAACTTAGCACCCCGGTAGCCTCAAAAGTCTTGCCAACCCTCCCTTCTGCTCGCACGATCCGCGTTTTCCTACGCGTCCTTGCCTCCGCTTGGGCGGGCTCCCCACCTGACAGACCTCAACTACTGGGGAGACTTCTTCATTCCAGAGCCTAGATTTCTCTGACAAAGAGTGAGGAGAGCAGCCAACGCCGTCAAAACCGACGTCCACACCGGCTTCAGCCCCTTCCTGAGTCTCTCCTTCCGGCGCATGAGGCCCTGAGCGGAAGGGGCGGGTCCATAGAACGGAAGGGGCGTGTCCACTGAGCGGAAGGAGTCAAAACCCGGAAGTGTGTGCTCCCGCGCGGCCCACCTGGTGAAGCTTTGGACTAATGATGGCCTCCGAAAGGAAGACCAAGCTAAAGAGAAAGAAAAGCGCGGATCTGGGGTGAGTGGCGCGCGGCACGTGCAGCGGGCGGGGTGATTGTTGGGTGCTCGTCGGGCAGGCGCAGCCGTGGGGCCTGGCGTGGCTGAGAATCTTCGTGCGTTTCCAGAGAGGACCCGGATGGCGGCGTTGGGAAGGCGTCCGGAGACTACCTGGTGGGACAGGTGGCTGACAGTCTGCTCCGTGCCCAGCACCCTCCCGGAGGCGGCGCGGGTCGCCTGGCGGTCCTCTTTAGCGCCCCTGCGCCGCAGGTCCGACCTGTGTTCATTCCTGTGCCTCAGGTGAGTCCCCGGGTTGTGACCCGAATGTCCCGTTAGGATCAGGCTAATTTATAGCCTGCGACTCACCTCACGGGGCGAGAGTCTCGGGCCGGCTGGATCAAGTTCAGGCATCTTTTGCTTGCTCCGTTTAGCCAGTGGGGGAGGAGAGGTGCTAATTTAGAAGGACATTAAGTTATTGCTCACGGTCAGGAGTTTTTACAGGATGAAGTCTCAAACATAACTTCAAACTTAACTTCAAACTTTTAAAAGGATACCCCTAAAAAAAAGGATCGAACTGAGGAAGAAGAGAGCACATCTGAGATTCAAAGACCAGTTTTGCGAGAACCCGCAAAAAAAGTGAAAGCGAAGAAAGTCTCTGTTGCAGACAAAAAGTTGGCAACCAGGTTTGTAAAATTTTTTGTAGTTGATGCTAAAGAATCAGATGGTACCAATGACCATTCTTCTACTTGCAGTAGTTAATCTGATTTTTTAATTTCATTTTGTATTTCTAATTTTCTTTTTCAAAAAATTTTACTGTTGCCTGGCAAGGTGGCTCACTTCTGTATTCTCAGCTACTCAGGAGGCAGAGATTGGGACAATTGCAGTTTGGGGCCAGCCCTGGCAAAAAGCTCGCGGGACCCTATCTGTGCTGGTTCATTGCTGTAGTCCCAGTTACATGGAAGGTGTAGGAGGATGGCATCTCAAGCTGGCCTGGGCAAAAGTCCAGGCCTTATCTGAAAAATAGCTGAAGCAAAAATAGCTGGGTGCCTGGTTGAAGTGGTAGAGCGCCTGTGTAGCAAGTGCAAGGCCCAGAGTTCAAAGCCCAGTACAACCGAAAAATTAGTTTTCTTTTACTATGAAATATCTCATAATATGCGAAGTTGAAAAGGATAAGAAACCCATTCATCTAGTATCAACTATTAATATTATTCAATCTTTATCATCTTTACCTTATTCACCACTCTGTAATTTGGAAGTGTTAGAAATATCTTTAAGGTATTGGGGTGTCATGAGAGAGATGACAGTACTCAGAAGTCAATAGGGAAGGCAAAATTTACTTATGTTGAAGGGTTCACACCAGGAAGTCTGGGAGATATTCACACTGGTTGGGAGGTCCAAAGGGGTTTTTACTGATGTCATGCTGTCCTCTCCTGCCCCTGGATTGGGCAGGTTTGGGGCTCACAGTCTACATGGTTGGCTACCTGGTTGGCCAGGTTAGGAGGGGACTTTGGGAACAAAGAAGTTTTAGAGAAGCAATAACTGTTTCTGGTTATCAGTTCCGGAACCAGGGCATCTTTCAGAATTCTTGCCCTTGCCCATCTGAGGATAACAACCCTTTGTTCTTAATAGAAACTTTTATCATATTAAGCTGAGTCCATGAAGCGAGTGTATGGGAAGCGAGTTAGTGAGACTAACATTTGTAATAACAGTAGTGATTACTGATTAAATCCTTTGACAGAAAAGACCTAACCTAAGTTGATTCTCACAGGAAGCAAACCCATGATTTATCTTTCATCTATAAATATTTCAACACATATATAAAAGATGACTTGGGTTTTTGCTCTTTCTTTTTTTAGTTTTTATTTTGTCTTTTGAGATAGGATCTTACTATATAGTCCAAGTTGGTCTTGACCTCATGATCCTTTTGCCTCAGCCAACCAAGTGCTGGAATTACAGATGTGTACCATCATGCCTGGCTATGAGTTTGGGTTTTGGTTTTTATAGCATATTTCCCTCATTATCTTAAATTTTGGGGGACTTGGGGCATGGCTCAACTGGTAGAGCCCCTGCACAGCAAGCTGAAGGCCCTAGTCAAACCCCAGAGCTGCCCCCCAAAAAAGTTTAGAAAACGTGGTCTCTCCCTTTGCTTGGTTTTATTTACTTTTCTGTGCATTTGCAGGCTAGTGGTGGGTTTTTATTTATTTTGTGCAGACCAAACCTCTGAAACAGGGCTGACCAACACCATCCTACCTAGTCACAATATTTGATGGTCAGGACAGCTTTCATTAGGGGTCTTCCTGGTTATTTTTACATGACTGCTTTCTCTGTGAAGCTGTTAGATTCTTGGAGCGTGGTCTCAAACAGTGATCCTCTTACCTCTTCCTTCCGAATAGCCGGGATTACAGGAGTAAGGAAATGTGGGAGTTTGCCAGCTGAGATACGGGACTCTTGAGGCAATTAGCAGGAAGCAACATTTTAGTGTGCCAGCACAGACATAGCGGACTCGTGTCCAAAGGCTGATCCCCGAGATCAAAGGGGTCTCACCTTATATACCCTTGCAAGGAGGTTACAGGAGCAAAAAGCAAGGTCTAATCCATATATGGTTCTATTTAATTTTATTGTCTACTTTACCCTAGTGCTATGTGACTTTCCTCATGTTCAGATTTCTCAGGTTTTATCTCTCTGCTGTGCCATCCCTACCCTCCCTGCTACTTTCTCAGGACTAGACTGTTTTTTCTTCTGATCCTCCTTCCTGCTACAACACCACTACCTCCTTTTTTTTTAAATTTTAAAAATTTTTTTTAAGAGACTAGGTCTCACTGTGCCTCCCTAGTCTGGACTCCTGGGCTCAATAGCTCCTCCTTGCCCAAAGTCCTGAGTAATTGGAACTGTGTTTTTTTTTTTAATTATCCCTTTAATCTTCTCCTTTTCACCCCTCTATCCCTGCTCTGGTTGGCCTGTTTCTCGTCAAATACATTCTGTTATAACTATCTCCTTACTGGTCTCCTTCTCCAGCCTTGCTCTTTCCTCACTTTTCTGCTGCCCAAATGATTTTGCTTTTTGATGTGATTGAGGTTTGAACTCAGGGCTTTGCTCTTGCAAAGCAGGTACTTTTTTAACGAAAGCAAATGTTTATTAGGACACCATTAAAAGGGGAGGCAATGATGGGCAGCTATGCAAAGGAGCACAGCACTCCAAATGGTTTTTGAGACAAGGGCTTGCTACGTAACCCAGGCTCACCTCCAACTCCAGTCCTTCTTCCTACCCCTCCCAAGTACTGGGATTACAAGTGTGCTCTACTGTCATAGCCCAAATGATGTTTCTTTTAAGGCATTCTCAAGGTCTTTGGTGGCATCCCATCTTCTCTAGGATAAAATGTAAGCATTTGGCAACATACACACACGTCTGCTCCTGACCTGCACAGCCCCTGCCACACTGTCACATTGCCTTTCCCTCTGGCTGGTCTGTCATGTACTTCGGTGAACAAAACACTAGACAGTCTCCTTACTGAAGCTTTTGGTCTGATGGAAGAGTCCACATTTATTGCTTTACTCCTCTGAGAATCCTTTTTTGTTTCTTTTATGTACTGTGTAGTCTAACTGTTACCACTTTATTGTGAACTTTGCATGTCTCTTTGCTACACTATTGAAAAGCTTTAATAGTTCTAGTAGCTCTTTATGTCCCCAGAGCCTAGATGAGAGGAGGAAGCCAGCATGTTTGCTAATGAGCAAATAATTTTGACTCTTGTCACTCTTCTCTCTGTACTCCTTGAGATCCTTGCCCAAGACTAGGAGTGTAGCTCAGTTGTAGAGTGCTTGCCTAGCATGCCCAAGGCACTGGAATTCATCCCCAGCACAGGGAGGGGGGGCAGGGAAGGGGATCCTTATCTGAGTCTCTTTTTGAATTGCTCAGGTCTTACACACCCCTGTGCAGAGATGCTTCAGACTGTATGTGCTGTTCAGTAATTTACTTTTGTTAAGCAGTTCTTTAAGAATTAGAGCTATTGTAATAAGCAATCTGTGGGGGTTTTTTGTTTATTTTTTTTCTATTGAGCAGATTCTTTTTACAAAGAAAGTCTTTGGCAGGTATATAAACCTTTTTAGATTCCTAGGAAATGGTTCATCTGTCTGGTCCTAGAACTGAGAAGGAAATTATGCTTTGCTAGAGTGTAAACTAAAATCTCTTAAGAACTGTAATAAATGAGCTGGGTGCCAGTGGCTCACACCTGTTATCCTGCCTACTTGAGAAGCAGAGATCAGGAGGATCACGGTTTGAAGCCAGCCTGGGGAAATAGTTTGAGAGACCCTATCTTGAAAATACCCAACGTGCAAAACAAAATGGATGGTCTTGTGTGCTGCACTAGCTTGTCCTAGACACCTAACTGGGGGCAACGGGAAATGCTGGAAAAGACAACAGAAGACCAAACATACATAAAGGTAGCGCCAGGTAGGTGGGCTCTCAGATGGAGACACACAAACCCCTTCCACCTCCAATGAGTTTTTTATATATACAGTGACAGCAGGAGGTGGAGAGGCCTTTCTTGGGGGAGGGGGCGTGACACTGTAATCCTTGGGAACAGGAGAAACCTGTGACAGCTTCTCTCTGAACGTAAGTATCTTAGGAAAAACAGCTGTACTGCATCTTGCCCACTTCTGCAGCTGAGGCTGTGCCAATTCAAGCGTGCAACTTTTGCAGCATAACTATGCTTGCTCCCTTCTGTGGTTTGGGGCTGTGCCAAACTCAAACAGGTAGCTTATTCTATATACCTGTCGGCTCCCAACAGGATGGCAGAGTGGCTCAAGAGGCAGAGCTCCTGCCTAGCAAACATGAGGCCCTGAAGTGGCTTTTCTTTAAATGACCATTTGCTACCACTGCTGTGTTTCCTGGCATTTTTAGCATGTCATCAATCTTTTTTTAAACTCTTAAGTTTGTTTTTTAAAAGCTAGTAGCCACTTTTTAGCTAGTGATACTTTAAAACTTTTGGTATGTTTGTGAGTGGGAGGTTTATCTTTAGGAAAGCCAGAAGTCACTGGGAAACATTTCCGGTTGGAGGGTAGAAATAAGCTTTGTCAAATGCTGATTTTCATGACTCTTCTTATCTTTGTTTTGCCTTAAATATTAGGGAAAGTGCTCTAGCCAGTGCGGATTTAGAAGAAGAAATTCATCAGAAACAAGGGCAAAAAAGGAAAAATTCCCAGTCAAGTATTAAAGTAGCAGATAGAAAAATACCTCATGATATAGATTATAACCTTGATGTAAGTCAAAGGAAGAAAATTCAAATCAACCAAGAAAGGAGAGATTAAAGAATGAGAGGACCGTGTTTGTTGGGAATTTGCCTGTTACATGTAATAAGAAGGTGAGTTTGTAGTTTACTGTGGCATAAATTGAAAGAAGATAAGCACATTGCCATTGATCACTGATAACTTCATTGTCAGTGTGACCAGCTAAATCATCCCAGTGTCCATCTCCTCTCTCCCATTCCTGCAGTCTCTGTTTCACGCTTTTGCAGAGCAGGCTGCAACTATTGCAGTGGCCTCTCTGGCTGTCTTCTTTCCAGGCTTCTTTCCCTTTATGTGCCACTAAAATGGAAGCTCCACAAGTTCAGAGATACTTATCTCTCTTCTCCATTGTTGTCTGTATCCCCTATATGTGAGAGGATGCCTGGAGCCTTGTAGGGCCTCAAATATTGTGTGGAAGAACACACACATCTTATGTTTCTTCCATTCTGTAGGGTTCACTAAGCTCAAAACATGCCCTTTGCTTTCTGTGTTCATGTAGCAGTCACTTCAGCCATCCCTTGGTAAAAATCCTTCCTCATCTTTTGAGCACAATTTATGTTCTACTTCCTTAACCACAAAACAACGCAGAAAACGTCCTGGCTTTTCTCTTTCTCACCCTTTTGTTCTAGCTTTTGATTTGTATTTGTTTCTGAGGACAGCACACATTTTGCTTTGTAGCATACTTTTTTTGGTTATTGATCTTTCTATTAGATTATAAGGGGCTCAAGGGAAGGAGTGTGTAGTATGGTTTTCAATTTATTAGAATTGGTAGTGGAAATTATTGTTGTCACTATAAAACACATACATTCTAAACATCTTGAGCCAGTGGTAAAAATGTCTAAAACTTACCCACTAGGATTTTCCTTAAGCTGGTCTGAATCAGGTTGCTGAAGAATGTCTTACAGCAACATCAGCATCCTTAAAATTCATTCTGTCTAAGCCAAATGTGAAAAGATCAGAGAACATGCTGAAGGTTAAAATCTTACCTCAAGTTACATGTGATAAAGATAAAAGGTTGCATGACAACAATATTGTGTAACTTATGGATAGTAATATGAACAAATTGTGTTTTCTGTAATATTTTTATTCATCTAATCTATACCTTTCCTGAAATGTTCTTAAAATAAAAACTAGCAGTAAAAGCTTATATCAGGTAATTTTGCATCATTCCTTTTTGGGTACTTATGTGATGTTCTGACAGTTAACTAATGTATGTATTTTTTTTTAATTTTAGAAGCTGAAGTCATTTTTTAAAGAGTATGGACAAATAGAATCTGTACGATTTCGTTCTGTGGTATGTTTTCTCTCCCCTTAAAAAGTTTCATTGTCTTAAAGTGCTTAGTATTTAAATCAAACTTAGTGATTTGCTGGTACTGCAAAGGTAGTTACTAGAGAGGTAATCTTTGAGTAACAGGTGTAAATGTAGCCCAAGAGAAGAGTGGCTCTTGGTATGTATTACTAACTCTTTTCCTTATTAGATAATTTAATGAGTTCGCTTAAGAAGGTGATATGCTTGTCACTAAGACCAGAGTGTTTTGGAGGGCAGATCAGTGGCTTACTTGCTGGGTCAATACAGGAGGCAGAAAAGTTGGTACTTACTGATTAGTGTTTCTGGAGTCACAGGCAGTCCCACCTGATGTGTCCTTGTGGGAGATTGGTGTGACAGTAGCAGGCAGTGCTCGTGCTCAGAGCATGACAAAGTATTTATCAATTTGATGTTAAAACATTATAAAATGAGTGCTAACTGATGTTACCACTTGAACTCTCCAGACCGATTATGACTGTGCTTCTTGGAGAATAAATAAGCACCATTCGTTTGGTTTTCCCACTTGTATTTTTTTTTTCCTTTTTCTTACTACATAATTTATCATTGTGTATGTTCTAGAAAACTATTTTTAATGTAATCAGTGTGTATTAAAATACAGGAACTGTTTATTCCATGTTTCTGATTCCTCTTTCTTACGAGATTCTCCCAGGTGGGTTCTTCAGGTCTGGTGTGCAGCTCAGTGGTAGAGTATTTACTCGCCTAGCACACATGAGACCTGGGCTCTGACCCCCTATGCCACAGAAAGAATAAAAATGAAATAGTATGGAGGTTTTTTCAGTCTCCATACTGTGAATATTTTGGGCTAATTCTTCATTGTCGGCAGCATCCCTGTGTATTATGGGGTGTTTCATAGTGTTCCTGGCCTTCACCCACTGTATGTTGATGGTCTCCCCCTACCTTAGTTTTAACAATCCAAAAATATCCCTGAATATTTCCAAATGTCCCTGGAGGTGAACCTTCCCACTTCTCTAAAGTAGACATTTCACAAGATTCTGACAGTCCCATAATATGTGTGTGTGTGTGTGTGTGTGTGTGTGTGTGTGTGTGTGTGTGTGTGTGTGTGTGTGTGTGTGTGTGTGTGTGTGTGTGTGTGTGTGTTTCCCATGGCATTACCTATTGGTCTGCCATCCTAAGTCCATTTCCTTTATCAGATCCTCGCCTGGCACATGACTGACTCTCAGGCACCCAGTCAACAGCATGCTTGTGCCTGCCTCCACCTGCCCCACCCAACTTCTGCTGCCTGCTGATTTTTTTTTTTTTTTTGTTACTGAGGTTTGAACTCAGGGCCTATACCTGGAGCCACTTCACCAGCCCTTTAGTGAAGTGTTTTTTTGAGATAGGGTCTTGTGAATTATTTGCCTGGCCTGGCTTTGATCTGTGATTCTCCTGATACGTGTCTCCTAACTAGCTAGGATTACAGGTGTGAGCCACTAGTGCCTGGCTTCTGCCTGCTGATTTTTCTCTCTTACTCAGTAGGACCAGGTGGTAGGCTTTGGGGTTGCCTGGGACTCTTTTTTTTTTTTTCTGTGGCCCACCCAGCCTGTTCACCACCCATGGCTGGTTTTCAGCTGTGGTTTCTTTCTCATCCTTCTTGTCTTTTCTCCTGTCTTTTTATGTCCTCATTACTTCTTGTTAGGGCAGTTGAAGATGCTTGCTGTGGTTCCTACCTTTAGTCTTCCTCTCCTTTGTGTAGTGCACCCTGTCATCCTAGTCTTCCTGATGCACTTCCCCCACCCCTGTTAACATCTCTCTCTGATACATAAACCTTCGCCTGGTATTGCCTTCTCATTCACAGGAGCCTGTCCAGGTTCTTCCCTGCCCCTGGACTGCATGTAGTATGTGTGGTAATCTTGCCATGTATTCTTGAGCCCCATCATTCAGTGTGTTCTCACTGCACTGAACTGAAGAGGTTCTGTTGTTTGTCTTGCTTGCCTGAGGGTCACTTTCTCTTCACTGCCAGTGAAGTCTGTCCTGACTTTCTATCCTGAAAATAAGTGATCCTGAACACAAAGGGAATTCCTCTACTTGCCCAATTTAAGACATCCCTGAATATATATAAACTCTTAGAGACATGGTGAGCTAATATATCTGTCTGCTCATATTATTTACCAATTTACTTAGACATTTAAAATTATATAAGATAAAACAAGATTTATTAATTTATAGATACTGCTTTCTCAACATTTGGGCATGCTAGCCAAACGCTTTTACACTGAGCTATGTCCCCAACCTCCACACTTGTTTTATAAAACAATTGTCCTTATGTTTTTCTTGTGTCTTCAGTGTCACTGCCTCTTCCTGGTCTCCTCCTCTTTGATCCACCCACACAGTTTGAGAACCCAGTGTCTTTACTTCCAGCTAGGTTGGTCCAGAGTCGCTTTCTGTTCAAGCTTGAGTGTTATGCTATCACTGGAAATTTTTAACACTAAACCTCAGCTTTCCTTTCACGTAATATTGGGATAGTTGTTTAGTTTATTTTACTTATTTATTTATTTATTTTGGTGGGACTGGGGTTTGAACTCAGGACTTGCAGCGCTCTACCACTAAGGCACACTTCTAGTTTGGGATAGTTGGTGAGGACTTGATCATTTCCCCAGAATGTTTTTAATCACAACATGACACAAACTTAGGCTTCAATTAGATTAAAATAGAACATATAATTAATGTACCAGGCGTGGTGGAACACACCTATAATCCTACTACTTAGGAGACTGAGGCAGGAGGAGCACAAGTTGGAGGCACAAGTTGATACCCTGTCTCAAAAAAGCCCTAGAAAAAAAAGAAAAAAGCCCCAAGTATGTGTGTAGCATGCATGAGCCCCTGGTTGCAATCCGCAGCACAAAAAAAAAAGAAAAGAGGAAAAAAGAAAAGGAAAGATAGGATGAAAAATGCAACTAATTTGAATTAATATTTCAAATTTTGAATTTTCTTTAACTTTTTTTTTCTTTTTAACTCTTAAAAGATTCCAGCAGAGGGAACCCTAACCAAAAAGTTGGCTGCAATAAAGTAAGTTTATACTTAGTCAGAAGGTGTTGTCTTAAACTCTTTCTATTTGATACAAGTTGAGACCACAGTTCCACAGATTCCTGTGTTTGGATAAAGCAGTGTGCTTGATTGTTTTCTTGTATTTGTAATGGTGTATAGATTGGTCACCTGTAAAAGACTGTCAGAGAAAGTGTTGTAAAATCTCACTAGAAAGTGTGCTGTGAAAAATTTCAGGAAGGTTTATAGTGATTGAAGAGAACAAGGAAGTTTTGTACCCAAATTTTCCACAGCAGATCACAAGTGCCATACAAGGGGTGCCTCATAGTTGCTGTCAGAGCAAAGTGCATCTGAAAAGCAAGGTTCAGACTTCCATCGGTGGTCAGATTGTATCAGAGAATTCACATGTGTGTCTGCTGGTCATTGGGATGACCACTTTAAGTTCTCTAAGAGTTTGAGACCCGTGTGGTTTTGCTTGGGGTTCAAATTCTGAAGGAATCCCTCCTTTAGCAACCCAGTGCCAGGAAAATCAAGTCTCCTTGCTACTCTTCCTATATGGAAGGCTTATTATTTATTTACCTTCAGCCTTTTCTGGCTTTCATATTAGTCTCACTATGTTGGGTGTGCTTTTTTTCTCTCTCTCTCTCATTCTCTGTTTTGACAAAGGGTCTCTCTATGGAGCCCGGCCTAGCTTTGAACTCGTAATTCTCCTGCCTCTGCCTCCAGGGTACTGGGACTATAGGTGTGCACCACGATGCCTGGCATTGTTTTTTCTTAATGGCACATCAAATGATGGATTTTACAAGCAGAGGTTTCTTTATCTTAGATGAAATAAATATAGTAATATGCTTCAGAAATATTTCTGGGAATCCTGTCCTATCACAATTTGCCATTACTGCAGTTGTGTAGGTGATCTTAAGATGGAGTTCAGTATTAATGTATTTCCCCAGGATGTCTTGAATTTTGATGGAATCAGCTAGACAGGGTTTCAGTCTATGATCACCATCACTTACCTCTCCAAGTCTCAGCTCCCTTATTCATAAAATTAGAAAAATAATAGCCATGGCAAAGTGGTGAGAGTAAATGTAATATGTAAAATATGTAGCTTAGCGCCTGGTGTATATTAGGCATACAATAAATCACAGCTGTTCTTATCAACATCAGATCGTATAGTATAATATTACAGAATGCCATGAGCTGTGCTGGATAGTATTTCCCAGTTCCCTTCTTGATGGTGTTCATTTGTGTGTTAGCATTTTTTTACTTCAGAATAATAGATTGATAAGACAGGCAGAGTGGCTCAACTGGTAAGAGCGCCTGCTTAGAATAATAGATTGACATCTTTAGCCAAAGATTTGTGGTTGTCACCAGATCTGTCCTAAATGCTGACTTACCTACACTGTAGACCCTTTTGCAAATCTTGTGAGTTCATAGATTTAGATCTTGAATAACACCAATTCCAGTCATCAAAAAAGTGAAAACCTCTTATAACATGTTCTTCCCCATGGAAGAACATAACACCTACCTGTGGTAGACCAAGTTTGAGTCTGATCAAATTTTTGATCAACTTGCAGTTTTATAAAATACAGAGGACAAAAGTACATGTTGAACTGCACTGCTGTCTTGTCAGCAAATTGGAAATTTGTCAGAAATTTGGAAATTCTGCATGTCAGACAGCAAGGCAAAGAAAGATGAGGGAGCATTCTGTAAATTAAATGGTACACCAAAGATGTATCGAGCCAAAGAATGGAAAAGACGAAAGTGTAACGTGTAGAATGGACCTGGGTGGCAGAACCATATCAGTAGAGGGAAGAGTTCATGTAAAAGTGGGCGTGGTGATTACTTTGGGAAGGAAGGAAGGAAGGGCTGCAACTGGGAAGGGCCTCCGAGAGGCTGCTGGGTGGCAGCGGCTGCCTGGGCTTTGGCCTGTTGTTGATTCGCTGTGGAAGGCTGTGTACTTTTCTGTGTGGGTGTTTTATCTTGCAGCAAAAAGGAGAAACCAGCTGGGTACAGAGCAGCTAAGATTATACTTATTGTTCTCAGAGGTTGGTGCATGTGGGTGTCCTGTTCTCTCACAGAGTAGGAAGGTATGTGTTCCCACCGCTTGTATTCACTTTTGAATTAACTGAATATTTATTTGAAAAGATGAAACTTCCACCCAGGAATTCTTGCCATTTGTGTTACCAGATTGTAGCAAACAAGGTTCATTTTAGTGACTTTGAGGCTAACAGATTTTACATTGTCCTCTTTTTTTTTAATAGACGTAAATTTCATCCTGATCAGAAAAACATTAATGCTTATGTTGTGTTTAAGGACGAGAGCGCTGCCACAAAGGCACTGAAAAGGTAATCCCGATGGTGAGGTTTGAACAGTTAGTGTCATGTATTTCTGTGTGGACCTTTTTTATTCTTTGGTTTTACTTTAGAGCAAATATTTTCATAATTACATCCTCATGGTTCACAGCTATTTCCCTTTGTATTTATAATGTAGAAATGGAGCCCAAATTGCTGATGGATTTCGTATTCGAGTTGATCTTGCATCTGAGACCTCATCTGTAAGTTGTACTTCATTTGTTTGAAAAACCTAATTGGAGCCTTGTGGAGGGAAATGTTTCCTTCTGCAATTTGCTGGCAGGGGGTGGTACCAGCAGTGTGAGCAGGAAGGAAACAGGAGGAAGCAGCATTTGTCCTCTGGGGTCACAGGGCTGGTACTGAGAGGAGCAGGAGGACTGGAGGAAACATTAGCTCAAGAACTGTCAAAGTTAGGCTGCACCTTACATTAGAGATCTTCTAGTCCAGCCCCTTGTTTCACAGACCAAGCTCAAGGCTGTCATAGACATGTCCCAACTCACAGCATGTGTTGGAGACACGCAGAGAGACAGACCATGGCTCTGTTACATGTTCAGTACTGTCACAAGGGCACAGGATGCTTTGTCAGCTCAGGAATGGGGCACATGACTTGCAGCTGTGCTAGCAAGAAGGGACCAGGAGGGTTTCCAGGAGAGCAGGTCTTGTGTCAGTCTTGAAAGAGGAATAAGGCATTATCTAGGCATAAGAAAATTATAAAAAGTTGAAGACAGTGTGTGGGCAGAAAAAGCAGTATTAACCTTGGGGACAGATACCTAAATCTCAGGGAATGCCATGGTCTTGATACGGTGATTGGGTGGCTGGTGTGTGAGGGGCAGTAGTAAGAGTTGCTATTGGACAAATAGGGGGAGGCCAAATCATGAGACCCCTGGTCTGCTGAGCTTCGTGCAGAAGAGACTAGGTCTTACCTGGGAGCTGATCTACACATGTAGATGCTGGGGTGGTGAACTGCTCGCATTTGACGGCAGTGTCTGCAACAGGTGCAGGACGGATTGTAATGGTTCATCCACAGACACAGAGCATGCTGCTGTTGTGTCAAAACGACCTGGTTAAGAAATAACAGCAGTCTGGATGAAAAACCCTGGCTTGATTGTTTTGTTAATAAAGCAAATTAGTTTTGGTATCAACTATGGGTTGTTCTTGAGTTGTAACAGCAGAGCACAACTGAGACTCAGTCACAACTGAGACTACATGGCTGTTGGAGTCTAAAGTTTTTGCTTGTTGGTCAACCCCCAGTAGAGGAAGGCTTTCCTGAGTGCTACCCTGTGCCTGTGCCAGCTGTGAATGATAAGTCTCTCTCTCCTCTGGTGCATTGTCTAGAGAGAAGACAGAAGCAGCAGAAACAAGGGGCAGATGTGTGGTTGAATCAGGAAGTGGACGATCTGTTAGAAGTGGAGGGCTGTGGGATGGGGTGGGTTTTAGCATGGCTTCCATTTTGTGGTCCACTGAGTGATTTTCATTAACCTTTGTGTTTCAGAGGGACAAGAGATCAGTATTTGTGGGGAATCTTCCTTATAGTAAGTTTGTTTGAACAAATACAAATATTAATTAAATTATGGGGAAGGGGTTGGGGATGTTGCTCAGCAGTAGAGCCCTTGTAGCATGCATGAGGCCCTGAGTTCAATCTCCAGCATGTCAAAAACAAAAACCCCAGACTGGAGGCATGTCTCAAGTGGTAGGGTGCCTGCCTAGCAATTGTGAAGCCCTGAGTTCAAACCCCAGTAAGTAAAACAAAAAAATCCAACAATAACAAAGGGGGAGTAAAACGCTTGCATAATGCAAGTGTTATGTTACAAGGTGGCACACACCTATAACCGCAGCTGCCTGGTTGGCTATGGCAGAAAGGTGGCAACTTAGCAGTCCTCTCTCTTCAAATTAAAAACAGGCTGGGAATATATCTCAGTGATGGAGCACTTGCTTAGCATTTATGAGACTCTAGGTTCTGTCCCTAATACTACCAAAAATGATGTTTTGCTTAAGACTTCCAGTATAACAGAGTGTTTGATGGGCTGTGCTTAACTTACTGCATAATTAAACATCTCTAGCTTTCTAAGTTGAGGTCAAGTCTTTACCTGTATTGTGATTGGATTTATTTTTAGAGCTTGAAGAATCTGCCCTGGAGGAGCACTTTGTGGACTGTGGGCATGTTGTGGCTGTGAGGATTGTGAGAGACCCAGTTACAGGAGTCGGCAAAGGGTTTGGCTATGTGCTCTTTGAAGTAAGGGACACCAGTGCATGTGACTCTCCTTGGAAATGCCCCAGGAGGGGTTTTCCCTGTGTGTCATTGTCATCATTCAGACATAACTTGCTCTCACCCTCAGAGTATGACTGAGTAATGTTGCTAGTTGCACACAACTAGAAGATGGCCCAATTCCTTGTGTCTTCATGCTAACATTTTTTTTTTTTTTGGTGAGACTGGGGTTTAAACCCAGGGCTTTGTGCTTCCAGTCCATTTGGTTCTGGTTGTTTTGGAGATAGGTTCTAGCAAACTATTTGCCTGTGTTGGCCTTGACTGAACCTTGATCCTCCTGAACTCAACCCCAGGTAGCTAGGATTACAGGCCTGAGCTACTGGTGCCCGATTCTCCTTCGATTTTAAAGGATAACTTCATTGGATATAGATAGTAGTCTGAACAAGGTTTTTTTTTTTTCCTTTTATCATTTTTACATTTACTTACATGTGTATACATTGTTTGTGCCCCTTCTCCCCCCCAGCCCCCCCAGCAAGGATTTTTGTTTTGTTCTGGACTTGAAATACATCAGCCCTGCTCTCAGGAGTTTTCCTGAGAGGTCAGCTATTATTCTTCATAGCCTTTTCTTACTTGGCACTTCTTTCAGTTTTCAGTATTTCTTTCTTTCTTCTGTATTCTGGGCATTTTAACTATGATAAGGTAGTGAGATTCTTTTCTGGTCATGTTCACTTGGGGTTCTAAATGCCTCATGTACTTATGTATTCATTTATTTAGATCTGGGTGATTTCCTGCTTTAATTTCATTGAATTAAGTTTTCTGTGCCTTTAGTCTATATTCTTGGTTCTCTCTTCTACACCACAGGTTAATGTTTGGTCTATTAATGGCCTCTTTTTCCATCCCAGAACCTTGATTGTTGTGATGATGTTTGCTTTTTTACTTTATTGTTGTCTGAGAGCAGTAATTCCTCAAACTTGTATGCAGTCCCGCACCTTCTTTCTTTTACCCGTCTTGTCCATTGGTAATGCTTTCCATTCGAGTTACTGAGTTTTCACTTTGAAGAGTTCTGTTTTTTTTTTTTTCCAGAACTGTTAACTTTTTTGCTGAATTTTCTGCTCAGGTCCTTTTTTTTTTTTTATTATTTTTATTGTGGTGCTGGGGCTTGAACTCAGGACCTTCACCTTGAGCCACTCCATCACCCCTATTTTTTGTGAAAGGTTTTTTGAGATAGGGTGTTGCAAACTATTTGCCTAGGCTGGCTTCAAACTGCAATCCTTCTGATCTCTGCCTCCTGAGTAGCTAGGATTATGGCCTGAGCCACTGGTGCCCAGCTTGTTCACGTCTCAAGGTCACTTTTTTTTTTTTTTTTTTTTTCTGGTACTAGAGATTGAACTCAGGGCCTTGTGCATGCTAGAGAAGTAATTTACCACTTGAGCCATGCCCCTAATCCTTTTACTTTTAGGTTGTTTTTTAGATAAGGTGTGTCTCATGTCTTTGCTTTGCCCAGGCTGGCCTCAAAACTCCACCCTCCTGTGTCCTCCCTCTTGAGTAGTTGGGATTACAGGTATGCACCTCCATACATCTCTTGAATTGACTTTACTATATTCACCAGTTTATTTGAATCCACTTTGAGGTCATTAGTCATCTTTTTAAGTTAGACTTTTTAATGCTTTGACATTTCAGTACTTTAGATTCAAGAGCCTGTGAACTTCTGGAGTGGTCCCTTTATCTTGCTTTTTCGCATTTCTTGTGTTTCTAAGTTGCAATTTGTGTGTCTGATAGAATATCCGTCTCTTCCATTTTATTTGGGGGTCTTAGTGAGCAGTCTTCTTGACTGCTCAATCCCCAGTACCACTCAGGAGAAAGCCAAGTGCTATAAAGTAGCAACACCTGTCTGAAGTTGTGGCTTCAGCTCCCCCACTTAGCCAGGATTGGAGCTGTGGGCTGTTTTCCTACTTTTCTCTGTGTGGCCTTTCTAATTTCCCCCTTTCTGTTTTTTAGTGTTTTCTTACCTATGTTTTGATTCTCTTTCTCTCTCTGGAATGTAAGCTGTCCTTTGTTTCCCTGGTTTCTCATTCTGGAGTTGCAGTGGAAGAAACTTCTAATTGTCTTTCCTACCCCAGAAGCTCTTGCCTGACTTCCTTAGGCTAACTCCCCATGGGCTATTCTAGGCCACTGTATGTGACCTTATAAAGACTCTTAATAATTATTGCAGGTAGCTTCAGAAAAATCATGAGCTCTTGATGTTTTCCTGATACTGGATTGTAGTGACTTCACTGCTGCTGTATCTTCTAGGCAGACACTATCACTTGAGCCTTTCCACCAGCACTTACCCAGCTTATTTGTTGAGATGGGGGTCTTGCAAAATATTTGCCTAGGCTGGCCCCAACTGCTGTCCTCCTGATCACCTCCTTCCAAGTAGCTGGGATTAGAGGTGTGAGCCATGATGTCTAGCCCAGCTGTCTCCTTTTTTCTTCTTTCTTTCTTTTTTTCTTTTTCCTGGTGATTTTGGGGGTTGAACTTAAGGACCTCATGTGAGGCATGCTAGGCAAGCACTCTGTTGCTTGAGCCATGCACCGGTCCTGGTCCTCTTTTCCTTGATAGGCTCATAGAGTCCTTCGACGAATATTTCACGAACATTCAACGTAGCTAGCATTAATGGGTCCATATTTGGAACTTACATGGAACCCTAGAGGGCTTCCCACATCTTGGGCCCTGTAGGAGAGTTCACTGCCCTCAACATAGAGAATATTGCAGAAGGTTTACTGGTTTAAAAGATTGCATATGACTACCCAGTTAGTTGAAATCTCTTACGAAAAATGAAGCCTTTAGGATTGCGACCTCATCTGAACATTGACAAATTAGCTTGAGTGGTACAGGGAAACCTGAGGGGGAGCATGTCCAAAAGGAGACTCCCTCAGGGCTCTAGGACTCAGGGTTGGACTTTGAGGGTACTGATGGGCTCTGTGTGCTAGCTTAAAGATCACTCTAATCCAGTAGAGTAGAAATTGTACTAGTCTCTTTGCATATGAGCTTTTGGTGGAAATTAATGTGTCATTGTTTTTTTTCAGAACACAGATGCTGTTCATCTTGCTCTGAAGTTAAATAATTCTGAGCTAATGGGAAGAAAACTCAGAGTCATGCGTTCCATTAATAAGGAAAAATTAAGACAGCAAAATTCAAATCCAGGTTTGAAGAGTGTCAGTAAACTTAAGCAGGGATTTAACTTTGGGTCCAAGCATGCGGGGCGTTCTACAGGTGTGTTTATTGGAGAAAAAGCTGCTGTCATTAAAAAGAAGAGGAAAGGACAGAAGAAAAGTGGACAAACCAAGAAACCAAGAAAACAGAAATCTTGATGAGAAGATTGCTGCCTTCTCTCCTATGGTGTGCTGCTGATTAGGTGCAATGAATCCGTGGATTGAGCATCTGGGTTTTCAATGGATTGTGTTTGTCAGTGTGGAGAATCCCACAGTCTTGGTTATTCGTGCTGTCGTATTTCTTTGGAGCATTTTTTTTTATATGTGAACAGATTGGTTACCACGGATCATGTGCTGCTACTTGGTGGTATAAGAGATTTTAGACCCAGGATGAACATTTATAATTTTACTGATTATTTTAGTGGAGTTTGAATATATATAAATTAGCACTTCAGTTAGTTCAAGAATATTATTGGATGAGTCTAGGTTAAAAGGTAAATTTTTAAAAAAACAATAATCCTAAATACTGATTGTACTTAGTCCAAGTATCTAAATAATTAAGGTGGGAAGGCTGGTTCCAGATTTGGTTGTAACCCCTAAGGAAGATCTGAATGCTGTTGTATAATATCCACTTGTTTTTCTTTAGCTCTTACACCTACGAAAAGTGAAGTTCTTTGTTTTTATTTATTCCACCACTACCAGCAGCCTAATAACTAACCAATAAGATTATTAAATGAAACAAGATTCTGACTTCATTTAAATAGTGATTAGACTACTTTTCTGTTTTTATTTTATTTTATGCTCCTCCGGGAGCATATATTTGATATACTGTAAGAACTTTTGTAAATGCCACAATGTACACCACCTAGCACAACAATAAAAAAATTGAAGACTTTTTTAGACTTTGCAATTTTACTACTGATCTTTAGTTTTGTGTCGTTTCCTAGCAACTGCAGGCTCTTAGTTCAAACTCCAGTACTGCCACCCCCCAAATAATTATAATAAATTAGTGTCACGAGTGCTCGCTTCAGCAGCACATATACTAAAATTGGAACGATACAGAGAAGATTAGCATGGCCCCTGCTCAAGGATGACACGCAAATTCGTGAAGTGTTCCATATTTAAAAAAAAAAATTAGTGTCACTAAATAGGAGGAACGTCTTTGTAGAAATTGTATTTAATGGAAACATTTTCTAGCTGGGTGCATGTGGCTCATGCCTATAATCCTAGCTACTCAGGAGGCAGAGATGAGGATTGTAGTTTGAAGTCAGCCTGGGCAAATAGCTCATGAGACCCTATGTCTAAAATACCCTTCACAAAAAAGGGCTAGCTAAGTGACTCAAGGTATAGATCCTGAGTTCAAACGTCAGCACACACACACCCAAAACTAGAAGTATTTTCTAATAAAATATAGTGGTTAAGGTAGCCAGGTATCTTGGCTGGCTGTAATTTCAGTGCTGAGAAGGCAGAGACAGGGATTTCAAGTTTGAAGCCAGCCTGCTCTGCATGGGGAAGCCGTGTTTGTGTGTGTGTATACATATATACATGTGTGCTATATGCGTGTATGTATAAAGTTACAAAATGTAAAGTTCAACAAAGGGAGAGAATGCCATTGTATTCCCTTGGGACTAAATGTGGTCACAGGCTGTACCCAGTCACAGGACACAGCTCTGGGAGAAGGAGGGTAACCAGGATGGCTGATCTGAGGCAGGTGGAATCTTAGCGAGTATATAGTGAACATGCATCATATCCCTGAGATGGACAAGGGGGTGGGGAAGTTATAACTGATTGTTTTTGAAATACTGTCCTGGGGAACAGCTCATGGAAAACCTCATGCGTCTCTAAAATGTAGCTCTGTATAGAGTGGAGAGGGCTCCATTTTCCTGTATCTAGGGACTGGGTATTTTATGCTTAATATCCTTCGTAGAATTTCAACCTTGTTTTTCATAAGTAATGCTCAGTAAATATTTATTACCTGATGATTTTTGCATATGTTTCTAGTAATATAAAGACTCAATAGCTATAATTTGAACATATATAGTCTGTGAATAACGTGTGACTGCTGTGAATCAAGCAGCTTCTTAAAGCATAGTAGATAACATTTGTATTACTTGACATTTGTCACTGTATAATTGATATTCTGCTTTCTCTGAGCAGAATGTGCCTATGGTGCTATAATAGCTTAAAACATTTCACATAGGGAATAATGTCTGTTTTTAGAAGAATTTTCCAGGTACTTTGTATAATTCTTTGTTGGCTTGGAAAAATACTGGTAACATGTTACATCTGATTATTTCTTGCCACAGAGCGTATATGGTCAGCATTGAGTGGTTGAAATTTAACTTTCAGTGATTGTAATAAAGATTACTGGTTTTGGTAATCCAATTTTGACCATGAGAATTTTTCTTGTTTTTCTCAGGAACACTTTTCCCCTGCCTCTGCCTTAGATGTTTTCTGCTAGTGATCCTGGTCTTAACTGACCATGCGCTGGTTCAAGCCTATAATCCTAGCTCAAACCTGTAATCCTAGCTACTCAGGAGGCAGAGATCAGGAGGATCTTGGTTTGAGGCCAGCCTGAGCAAATAGTTTGAGAAACCCTATCTTGAAAATAACCAACACCAAAAAATGCTGGTGGAGTGGCTCAGGTGGTTGAGTTGGCTGCTTTGCAAGCATGAAGCCCTGAGTTCAGACCCCAGTACCACCAAAAACAAAACTCAAAAGAACAAAGAATTCTTAAAAGACACAGCATCTACTCAAATATTTTCTCAGTCTCATTGGATGAATCTTAGTGACTTTACCATAGCTTTCTCCTATTGGTGTCTGATTTTCATGTAAAGAAGCCTTGGTTTAGGTTATCTGGGCTCTTGACCCAGTTCTGTTACTCTGCTCTTAATTTCTCATTTTCAAGAGTTGATGGCCTCCCACACCAGCTGTTACAGCTTCACACAAGTTTTTTCTCCCTCACACACTCAAGGCTCAGTACATATTCCATAAGAAGTCAAGGTTCTCTGATAACTTTTTGAGGTAAGAAGAATCAAAGTCTCTGTGCAGGGCATAAGAAAAACTGTTTCCTTTGAATCATTTGGTTTGCTTGGGTACATCCGCCTCGCCACATCCTCACTTTCCCCTACCCCACTCCAGGCAGTGCACACATGCCTTTGGTTGAATTCCCAGTGTTATGCAGGGCTCAGGTTTATTATCACTGAAGGAGGAGGCCTCTCCAGCATTAGGTTAGGTTCTCCAGCTACAAGTTCCCATAGTAGTGACCTCACAGTAACTTAAGACACCAAGTACCCAGAGTTGGCCAAGTTTCATAGGTTAAGGGCAGTCCTCTACAAAACCAAATTCATTTCATACTTCAGCCACAAGGTCAGTGGGAGTCTCAGTCTTACCAGTGAGCTGGCTTGGGTTCTTTTGTTCTACTCAAAATGCAGCCATGAGTAGGTGAGAAGAAGCTCTTCCAGTGTTGCCAGTCCTGGACCCTTGAGTGCTGAAGGCAGGGCTCAGATCCAGAGCCATACGCGGCTGTACCCTCCAAGCCCTGGTAACTGGAGACTTAGGTTCCAGGCCTTAGAAGTTGGAGACTTACTTTGCTCTGGGTTCTGCATTCTAGCTCTCTGGCCTAGGGCATTGGCACTGTAAGACTTGGCAGTCTCCTGGAACTCTGCCTGAGACTGAAGCCCACAGTTTCTTGACTGACTCTTCATGGCCTTTTAGGGTTGGTTCTCTGCCATCTCTTGTAATTTCTATACTTAAGATGTCCTTATTTTACATTCTCTGCCCCCTGATCAAGCTGGTGTTTCAGCTGCCCTCGTCACTCAAATCAGCCCACTTTTACTTGATTAAAAAAAAAAAAAAAAACCCACAAAAACCAAGTAGGCAAAAGACTACTGGTAAGGGAAGCCTCCTTTGGGCCTAATGTTGCGATACCAGGGGCAGCACAGGAGAGCATCTCCTAGCTGACTCAAAAGCAAACTTAGAGCTGGATCATGGTGGCTCACACCTGTAATCCTAGCTACTCAGGAGGCAGAGATCAGGAGGATCAAGATTCGAAGCTAACCTGGGGCAAATAAGAGTCCCTTTCTCAAAAAACTATCACAAAAAGGGCTGGTGGAGTGGCTCACCGCTCCACCTCAGTTCATGCCCCAGTGCTGCAAAAAACAACAAAAAAGCAAACACGGCAGCCTCTTACATAATTTATATAACCAGGAGGGGGGTGTGGCAAGGGTGTCTGCACCAATCACAGGACTTCTGCCCCCACCTGCTGGACTTGGTGAAAATGGCTGCTAGACTTGTGACCGTAGAGAGTTCAACACAAGCCATTTGAGACATTTGCAGCTGGAGCAGTGTCTTCTGGAAGTGGAGTTGTGCTTGGTCAGCAAGTGACTGTGGTTGCAGCGTTAGCTTCCTTAAAGGTCTTTCCAGAGTGTTCAAAATGGCCTGGCTGCTGCAGTCCAATTAGCTGCTGAAGAAGGCTGCTTAGCTGACCGTTCCTATGCTTTAGGCATAGGGAAGGGCTTGCCTAACTTCTGCTCCTAATAGCTTCAATCATTCACAAAGAGCACCAAAGACAATGAAACAACAAAGACTTAATGAAGCTCAACACAGAACCAACAGCTTTGTTTTTTTTTTTTTTAGTAATACTGATTTTTGAACTAAGAGCCTTGCGCTGATGCACAAGCCAGAGCCCCCAAGTCCAAAACCAACAATTCTGATAGCACTGGACAGTATTCAATAGTATTCAACCGTGCACAGCACCTACCCCATGCACCAGGGAGAGATGGGCCCACCTCATCTGTCTCATTGGAATGGTTAAAAGACTTAGCCAGAGGGAAGCCATTAATCAGGTGCCATGTTAGCTTCAAAGCTGAAGGAGGTTCGTGAGGGGGTCTGGTTCCCGTAAAATTAGAAGAACAGACGGAACCAAACTAGGATACGGTCAAATGATTGTGTGGATTGTGTTGTGTTCACTCATGCTTATAGGTAGCAGCCATTGTCTCGCTTCTGTACCTAGGCTAGCTTGTTCCACAAAGATTGCCAGACAGGATGTAGTTTCTGCCTTTATAAACCCTGCAAAAGGTTAGAGAGGCTGCTCTGAGATCCAACGACCTGTTAGGGCAGTCGCCAGCTGGCTAATAAAGACTGTCCTTTAAAGTCTTTCTTGGGTGGTCCTATCTCATTGTGACTCATAACATCATCACTACTGACTGTCCCAGGTTCAATAATTCACTTTAGCTCAAAATTTAGCAAAGCGCTATATTTAGGATTACAGTTTTATTATAGGAAATGGGTACAAATAACCAGCTCAGGGGAGAGACTATTCCTTCAATTTCTCTTGCATTGTATTGTAATATTCTTTTGAAAAAGAGTCATTATGTCCAAGTTCGGTACCAAATGCACTTGAAAACTAAATTCAGAGTCACACGTGCCTGAACTGCACAGTAAGAGAAGCGTCGTTGTGATCGGCCCTCCCTCTTTGCCCTTCAAACCAAGGTTGGCGACTACAGTCTTCTAAGGGCTCGCCACGCTCACTGGGGTGGAAAGAAGTGCGTGGTGGCGCGCAAAACGCCGCCGCGCATGCGCAGAGTCCCGCGAGGCCTCGACGGCTGCGACGTGGACCTCTGCGCAGGCGCAGAGGGCGCGGGCGCCTCGGCGCAGGCACCGCCGCGGACGTCCCGGGGTCCTTGTACGCCGGAAGTGCTCGCGCTTGGCCTTTCGGCGTCCTGGCCGGCGGGCGGCGGCTGCGAGCGGCCGTCGCACTTCCAGGGCTCGCGGCCAACCGCTCCTTCGCCCGCCGCGGCCCGCGCACGCCGCCGCCGAGAAAAAGATGGTGGGCCGCAACAGCGCCATCGCTGCGGGCGTGTGCGGGGCCCTCTTCATCGGTTACTGCATCTACTTCGACCGCAAGAGGCGGAGTGACCCCAACTTCAAGAACAGGCTTCGAGAACGTGAGTGGCGGGAGGCCTCGCGGCGCCGCGTGGCGCGGCCGGGGAGGACGTGGCGCGCGGCTCCGGGGTCCGGTTGTGCCCGCCGGTCCCCTCCATTTTGGAGGAGTCTTGGCCCCATCTTGTGTTCCCCACGCTGGCCGTGAATTGCACTCGAATTGCATTATAATAATTGAGAGTGTGTTGGGGCGGTAGCGGCTTCTTTTCTTTGAAATTTTCCCCTTAAAAAAAATTTTTTTTTTTTTGGTGGTACGGGGTTTTGAGTTCCGGGCTGAGCACTTTGCAAAAGCAGACGCTCTACCGCTTGAGCTGCATCTCCAGTCCATTTTGCTCTGGTTATTTTGGAGCTGGCGTCCCGAGAACTATTTGGCCCAGGCTGGCCTCGAACCTCGAGCCTCCCGATCTCCGCCTCCCAAGTAGCTAGGATTGCACAGGTGAGCCGCCGGCGCTGGGCCCGTTCGCCCTTGTAAGCCTTTTGTATTTAACGGACTTTAGCCAGATCCTAAGTTAGGTGTCGTGCCTGCATTCTTAAACCCTCTTGGCGGCTTCGCTCCCCGTGCTTCCAAGATATGAGTGAGTGCGAGAGGACCTGCGGGGAGTCCAAAGGCTGCGCTCCTCCCGTGGCTCAGCTTTATTTCATACCTGCGACATCTTTTAAGAGAGGCTTGCCAGCGGGAAGTCGTGACACCCGACAACATGGTGATCCGCCTTGAGTTTCGGTGGAGGCGGCATTTGCAGCAGTCCAAAAAAGCAAGCTGGTTGCAATAAGACGTTTTTGCGATTTATCTAGGTTTTTTAATGACGCGACACCCAGGTCGTTCGGTGAGTTCCGAAGTCACGTCTGCCATAGGCCACCTGCCTCGGGGTTTCAGGAGGGATCCCGTGGTGATTTGCGGGGTGGGGTGGTGGACACATGGAAGAAGGCTGTTGTTGAGAAGACACTGGGCCCCCAGGCCCACAAGGGCCCCCGTGGGCAGCCTGGTGGTGAGCTTTTCGAATCTGAATCTCCTTAGCTGTAAAGTCGGGTAACGAGCCTTCCTCCTGGTGATACGGGGAAGATCAAGGACTGTTTCTCCCGTAGCGAAAGCCTCTCCGTACGGGGTGGCTGTGTGCGACTGCTGGAGCAGGGCCCATTTTCCTGCCGTTCAAAAACGGGTGCACACGTGGGGACTGTGTGCAGATACGGAGCGGTTAGGACTGGTTAATCCTTCCCTGAACACTCGAAGTCATTTGAAAACCTTTCATTTTAGACTAACCGAACAGTATTACTTTCAAATTTCTTTTTTCCCTCATCTTCAATCCACATTTATTTCCGGCTTTAGCAGTGACCTGATGATTTTGGTGAGTAACTTGCAGAGACCTCAGGCAAGCAACTTACAGCTTCAGTTTTCCCTTTTAGTGAAGCAGTGAAAGGGTAGTTTAGAGCTGTTACTGACACAGTAATAGGTGAATGCTGGAATTTTTCTTATAAGTAGAATTTTATTATTTGATATTTTTGCTATCAAGTAAAACTTATCCAGAGTAATTTTGTAATCTGTTTAAAGGTAATTGCTTGATTGGATGATTTTAAGAATTGGGATATTTTGTGTTTTGAGTTTTTCTACTCTTAATTTCCAATAGAACGTTTATATCTTCAGAAAAGGTAGTTTCTCAAAGCAGTCATTTAGTTTGTTGGCTTTCTTAATTTTTTTAAGAAAAAGAAGCTTAAGTTGAATATTTAAGTTTAGATCTGAGATCCTAATTCAGACATTTTGGCTTCTGTTAGCAGAATATCAGTGTTCTTTGTGGGTGCGTGTGATGAAGATTGAGCGCATGGCCTTGTGCAAGCTACTAATCACGTGCTGTTACCCTCAAGTTACACAACCAGCCCCATCAGTACTCTTAAAGCATAATTTTTATCCATCTAAGTCATCACTAATAAATGCAATTTAACTTTCAAATCAGTGCCCACTACAGATATGTTTCATTTAGATAATGCTGTATAAAATGTTATTATCACATAGAGATATTTTAAATGAATGCTTTAAAAATGATTTGGATTTGATAGCTGGTCTCCAGTGGCTCGCACCTGTAATACTAGCTATTCAGGGGGCAGAGATCAGGAGGATTGAGGTTCGAAGCCAGCCCCTACAACTAGTTCTTGAGACCCTATGTTGAAAAATAACATCACAAAAAGAGGGCTGGTGTAGTGGCTCAAGGTGAAGGCCCTGAGTTCAAGCCCCAGCACCACAAAAAAAAAAAAAAAGACAATCTTAAGCTCATGTTTTACATGTATTTTTTAAAGTGGACATACTTGTTTCAATTTGTTAGGGTTACACAACAAATTGTGGAACTAATTTTAGCCAGTACTGGGATAAGGCCTGATTTTTCTGTGTGACCCTTTAGTTTTTGGTTTTCAGTCTTAACCATTTGTCTCTTATCACAGAGACACTATCTTATGAAACTAAACCCAGAATTTTAATCTTATTGCTAAAAATGAAAGGTAAATAAAGGAACTTAAAATTTGATAACTGTCAGGCACATGTTTAGAATTAGTCACACGCTCCTCCATACCCTGTTTAAAACAACAACAAAGACTCCCCAGAGGTGGAGGCAGGAGGAGGGGGAGTTAATTCCAGGCTCCCTGGGTTATATAGCCAAACCTTGTCTCAAACAAAAATCCCCAAAACTTCAAGCAATAATGGAAAGTAAGTTTCACTCATGAGACTGGTTATGTTTTTGTCATTTTCCCTAACGTGGTGTTTAGCAAATTGTACTTTTCATTGCTTTTTGCACACTTACTCATTTTTGAAGTATGTTTGTTTCATCTTGATGGATGTTTTCACTTCTCTACACTGTAGGGCATAGAGGCAAAATAGAATTAACTTTTGAGGACTGGTGCAGTGAGGTTTAGCTGTTTGTGTTTGAATAGCCATTCCCTTTCTCATTGTGAGTTTTCTCATCCGTACAGTGGGGATAACAGTAGGGCCTTTTTAGAGTTACCATGAGGGTTACATGAGCTAGTCAGTGACAAACATTTAGAACATCATCTCAGACTTACTGAGTGCTTGCTTACCTTTCACTTTCAAGAGCTCCTGGTTTTCATGCCCAGTCTCCCTGCAGTCTTCTTAGTACTCTCCTACTACAGGTTCCAGTCTGTACCCTGCTGTTGAGCAATTAGGTAGAATCATGTATCAATAAATAATTTTCTGCTTAAAGAGGGTCAAAACCCTTCAGCAAATGTGGGGCAGGATTATGTTCTGTGTTCTAGCCCTTTAGTTAGCTTACTAAAATAGTGAGTATTTTAGGTAAGGTAGTTTGTAAACTGAGTGTGCTGGTGTGCACCTGTAATCTCAGCAGTTGGGAGGCAGAGGCAGGAGGATCCTGAGTTCTAGGCCAGTCTGGGCTACTTAATGAGATCTATCTCGAAAATTAGAATGTGTTAGTTTTTAACATAGTATGGGAATTACTGCTTTTCTGTTGAAACTGTTAGAATTGTATTTAAGCCTTAAAGCAACAACACTTTGTGGGAGACTAGAGTTGGCAAGGGGTACTAGTGTGGTTAAGTCTAGTCTGCAAAGTAGGTAAAGAATATACCCTAACCTTCTGTCTAGAATTAAGGCAAACAGGTCACTGCTTCTTTAGCCATGTATTTGTAGAGGAAGTTAACGTCTTCAGAGGCTTGCTTGTTTTATGGTTCACAGCAGTCCCTATAACAGGCCTTATCTTTGAAGTTAAGAGATTTTATCTGTCTACTGTTGCCCAGCTAGTAAGTAGCAGAACCTTTTTTTCTTAGCTATCCCACATGGTTATTATCTTGTCATTGTACTTTTCAGTCATTATAACTTTAGGGTTTTGTTGTTTTCGTTTGTTTGTTTTTGGGTTTTTGAGATAGGATCTTGCCATGCAGCTCAGGCTGCCCTGGAACTCATGATCTTCCTGCTTCAACCGCCCAAGTCTAGGATTATAGGTATGACCACCACACCTGGTGACTAAAGTTGTAAATATCTTTTAGTCTTGATACTTAGTACTGCTTGATTTTGTTATCAAAACCAAAACAACTTGGGGCTGGTGTAGTGGCTCAAGTGGTAGAGCAGCCTAGAAAGTGCAAGGCCCTGAGCTCAAGCCCCAGTATTGAAAAAAAAAACAAAAACTTTTAGTCATTTTCCCCTTCTTGTCAGCAGTTGAATATGACTGTTTTTAGTAGTAGATTTCTGAGTACTTTCCCCTTGCCTTTGTTTAGCAAATGCATAAATACTATGTTTTTAGAAAACTTTCTCGAACTGTTTCCTAATTTAAGAATGCTGGTTGTCTGGAGGTGAGGCCCATGTGGTGCAACACCTGCTTTACAAGCACCAAAGCCTCAAGTTCAAACCCCCGTCATAACAACAACAACAACAAAAGAAAACACTGCTGATTTGGGGAGGGGGGGCAGCACTGGTTTTGAATTCAGGGCCTCATGCTTGCTAGGCAGGTGCTCTTACTGCTTGAGCCACCCTCCAGCCCTCTTGGTGATTTTTTTTTTTTCCCAGATACGGTCTTGAGGACTGTTAGCCTAGGCTGGCTTTGAGCCTCGATCCTCCTGATCTCTGCCTCCTGAGTAGCTGGGATTATGGGCATGAGCCATCAGCTGTTGCTGATTTTTTTTTTTTTATTTTTTAGCATTCAGTAAAGATGGAATCTGATGTAGTTCAGTAATAAAAGCCTAATAGCAATGGTATAATTCCCCTGTTCGATGTCCTGTATAAGTTGGAAAGGGTGGGATTTGTACTCTGGGGTCCAGCTGTTAGAACTGTTTCCATCCTGTGAATTGCTAGACCTGTTGACCCAGAGGAAAGGAGAAGACTCTGGCCCGGAAATGCCTCATTGCCTATAGTGCACTGACCAGGACTATTCTTGGGGTCCTGATGGATCAGAAAGAGACCAGGAAGTCTAAGATTAGATTCAGGAATGCTTCAAAAATACAATTAATGACTGCTGTGGCAGTTAGATTTCTTTGATTCTTGTTTTGATGATAGCCAAATGAAAAATTTACATTTCTTGTAGGAAGGAAGAAACAGAAGCTTGCCAAGGAGAGAGCTGGGCTTTCCAAGGTAATATCTAGTCTTTTGTTCAGATTGCGTGTATACTTTAGAGGAATAGTATTTAAAAATCTGCTTCAGATACGTATTTTGAGGAATCTGGGTGCTAATAGATAATGATTTTCTGTTGAAAATTTAGTTTGTGGATAGGTGAACAGCTTAGTTCAACTGCAGATTAGCTGGTCCTTCATCATTTCCCATCTGTTGGCAGTAATGACAAATGGCTTATCCGTGCAATTTAGAGGCAATAAGACGAGTGGCTCCACAAAGCATTACACTAAAAAGTTAATATTCTTAGCTGCTTCAGAATTATAAAATACAACATTTATGATTGAGTTTTTCTTGCTCCAACTTTGTTATTCATTTCCACGGTTGATCAAGATTATTCTCACCCACCGATCCAGAATCCCAGTGGATTCTGACAGATTTTAATTTGTAGTATGTAAACCTTTTCCTTTTTTCCTTTTCATAGATACTGTGTTCATGATTACTTTTTATTTCTCTCTAGGTTTATAAAATGCTCTATGGCACATATAATTAAACCAAGTCAATATTTTAATGGGGTGCCCTCACTTTCCCTGTGTTGAAGTTTGTTCTGTTTGGATTTGTAGGACATGGGCTAGTAGTTCATTAATGCAAGCTAAGACAAAGAAAAATTGAACCAGTAAATGTTAACGTTTGTTATTTTGAAGCCATTTCATTATCAGAACAGCTAATTGTTCAGGTGTGGTAATGGCCAGGGAAACTTAAAGAGCACTTTGCTGTTCTGATGGTCGGCTGCCTTTCCAAACGAAGGTTCACTGTGGTTCTGGTAGCCTCTTATAAGGATGTAGGAAATAAATGCATACATGCATAAGTGGGAGGGCTTTTGTTGTTTTCAGTGCTGGGGATGGAAGCCAAGGTCTTTGCGTACTGGAAAGCACTTTACTGCTGAGCTATGCTCCAGCCCCAATAGTGTTGTTTTTCGATTTAGGAATATAATCAGATTCTTCCCATACTGAGATAATAAGTGAAAGATGCCTTCACTTCAGAAATTTAAATTTTTTTTTGTTGTATGTTAGGTAAATATAGATATAATTAAAAAGGGAAAATTTTCACTAATAGAAGTAAAGTAAAAATAAGTGGTAAGCACTTTTAGACAATGGGTTTACATTTAAAAAGCAAGCCATATCATTGGTATTATATATATGATCATTCAGTTTGGTAATATGTAACTATAAAACAAAAACGTGGAAATGCACACTTTAATAAAACCGCTTAAGTAGTTTGTATAGCAAAAAAAATAGGTGATCAAGAAGTAGAGTGTAGCTACATGTTCCTCAGTGTGTATGCTCTACTGCTGTTTAAGAATAATTGTACTGTTCATGTAAAACCTACATGAAATGTTGAATCAGAAGACTAAATGAATTATAGTTTATAACTTGATACTGACCATCAAAAAAAAAAAGAGTAAAGATGGTTAGATATTTGTACCCTTCATGTTTGTTTTAGTCAAATATCAGTGTGGTACTTTTTTCTTTCATTTTTGATGTATATACTAAATTCTTAATTTTTGCAGGTATTGTTCAGGATTGCATGTCAACAGTTTTTTAGAATAAACATTTTTGTTGTTGTTGATTTTGTGTGTGTTACATCTCTGGCATAGTATTGCTATCAATTTCTACATACTGTATTTCCAAACAGTTACCTGATCTTAAAGATGCTGAAGCTGTTCAGAAATTCTTCCTTGAAGAAATACAGCTTGGGGAAGAGCTACTAGCTCAAGGTAATGGTCATTATAAGACCAAGAAACTGAACAGAATGACTGGAAGCATGGGTCAAGTGGTAGAAAGGGCCTGAGTTCAAACATTAGTATTGCCAAAGATAAAACAAAATGAAGAAACTGGATAGACTTCTTCACACTATTATCTGTCTCTGATGCTAAAAGGGATTTTCTTGTGTAGTTTGGCTGTTTTTAGAAAAGATAATCTAACCATTGCAAGACCATTTTTTAGCTGCTCATAATGTCAGGATTATTTGAATGTAAGAAGTGTTCCTTATGGGTTATCATTGTCCAGTGATATATTTTAAGTAAGTTTTTAACCTCATTTTTACAAATGAGGTTCCTTTTGGGTCGTTTAGCATATTCAGCCATAGGCAGTATAGATAGTTACTGAATAAATTGAACTAGGAGGATATGCCTCAGCATGCTCACTGACTTTCAGGTCTTTTCCAATATTTCTAGGAAGGAAAAGCTAATGACAGTCCTAGAAAAGGTTAATTTCTCTAAACCTTAGTTCTTCATTTGTGAAAACCTGGTAAAAGATATGTAAAAGGTGAAGATAGAGATTTTTTGTTTATATAAAGTCAATACTTGAGAAACACTGTTAAGTAAACCTTGATTGGTTAATTGGAAACTCATTCTTGTTAAGTCAGTTTTCATGTGAATTTATATCACGAAAATTTGTTTAGTAAATAAAGAACTTTAGAAATGATATTTATGTATCAGGAATTACGAGAGGACTGAGATTTTACCTTACTTGCATGCTTGTAAGTTAGGGAAGTCTGCCCCAGCTTTATGGATGCTGGTAGAAGACATGAAGACTCTTGAGTCAGAGACAGCGGACAGTTTATCACTCACTGCAGTGGCAAGAGCAGGGAGTTGACATTTGCGCTGCTTCCTTCAAGTGCAGTTCCCATCATAGTGCAGAGTGACACTTGTACACACAGTGGGTCGCAAACAGATGAGTCCTGGGTTTAGGGAACTTGAATCTCAGAAGGGTAAGTGTGCTTGCTCTTTGCTCTCAACATAGATGATGTTATACTAGGCAATATGCAAGCCTGCCCTTGCCGAGGGAAGAACTACATATCCCAAGGTGTTTGCAGTATAAACATCCTTGAGAAGATTCTCTTAAGCAAAGAAGTAAGGCCTCTGTGTAGAAATTGGGAGACTTGCAGAGGGTTGATCCTTAGTCTCTTCATTTAAAGCTGGGAGCTGGTGGCTCACACCTGTAACCATAGCTAGTTGGGAGGCTGAGATCAGGATGTTTGAGGCCAGCTCAGACAAATAGTTTGCAAGACCCCATCTTGAAAATACTGGAGCAAAATGGACTGGAGGTATGGCTTATGTAGTAGAGTGCTGTTTTGCAAGTGTGAAGACCTGAGCTCAAACTCTGTCCCATCAAATGTATATTTTATGGATATAGATATAGATACCAGAAAGCTTTTTTTCAGTAAGATAAAATTTTCCATCATAAAACAGTCCTACACAGATTACACATGTACTTCGTAGTGTGGAATTTTGGTCTTGAGGATTTGGCACGATTATTTGGAATTTGATTTAAAATGGGATTAACTGAGGAGAAAGACATGACAGCTACCTAATTTTTATTAAATTAAATGAAACTTCAAAACTAAACCTGAAGGGGTTTTTCCTCTAAAAGTTAATCTAAGTTCGTACTAAAGGAAGTTTATAGAAAAATAAAAACAAATCTTCCTCAGAATCTTTTGTTAACTACTTCCTTTCGTACTTCCATTATGTGACCATTTTTCCTACTAATTTTACTTTAAATTATTTTTCTTTTATTTCCATGGGGTAACATTCAAGGTTTTAAGTGAATTTCATCTTCTTTCATCTTGGCCTCCAGTCTGCTACTTCTCAAGTACACTTCTATTGTTAACTTATTATGTGATCTTTCAGAAATATTTTAAGAATGTAGCTGGGTGTGGCAGCATATGTAATTGCAGCTGCTCGCAAGGCTGAGACAGGAGGATTGCAAGTTTGAGGCTTGCCTGGGCAACTTAGTGAGATCCTGTTTTAAAATTTAGAAAAAGAGCTGGGATATAGCTCAGTGATAGAGCACTTGTGAAAATGAATAAGCCCTGGGTTCCATCCCTGATAAAACAACAACAAAAATTTAAGACCATAAATAGTAAAACATCTTACTTTCTTCCTCACGTCCGTATATTGAGAGGCTTCGTATTAGTGCACACAGTGTGTCTCCTCCTCGTTAGTAGTGACATGATGCTCAGTTAACCTGGATGCATCGGGTTATTTCCAGTTTCTTCCTTGCACAGTAATTTTGGTTAGCATGTGTGGAGACAGAAGGTGAGTTTTTGACGAAGGTCAAACCTTCAGCTTCATGTCATTTTGTGTGCATCCTGCAGGTGAATATGAGAAGGGTGTGGACCATCTGACAAATGCAATTGCTGTGTGTGGGCAGCCGCAGCAGCTGCTGCAGGTGTTACAGCAGACACTTCCTCCACCAGTGTTCCAGATGCTTCTGACTAAGCTCCCAACTATTAGTCAGGTAAGGACTGGAGTGTTACAGAAGTGAGTTGAGTTCTGAGAGCTTCATGTTGAGAGACATTTAAAAATAAGCCTAGACAGTATGTAATAACCGGAGATACTAGTCCCTGGAATTAACTGTTGCCAGTGGGTAGAGTCCAAATGACATCATGCCCACAGCAGAATCAAGTGTGTGTCTTAGTGTTAAGTTTAACCCTTTGTATTTGACTCTCCAAATTCAGGCTACTTTCAGCTGCTTTCTAAAATCAACTTTTTTTCGGGGATGTACAGCACATACCTAGTACACTCAAGGCCCTAGGTTTGATCTCTACTACCACCAAAAAAAAAAAAAAAATTCATCTTTCTGTGTCCTCTTTTGGGACATTATGCCTCTACTTAGGTGGCCTGGCATTGGATCCAGCAGCCACGATCCAAAATGCGTAAGGGAATGTAGACTTCTTCTAACCTCACTTACCTGGAGGCTCGGCACCTCTGATTTTTCTTTCTGCTCCGGGGGACTTTAAGTTTGGATCTGTTTGACTTCACCTCCTACTCAGAAGGAAGTATCAAGGCCAGGTGCAAGGGCTCAGGCCTCTTACTTCCAGCTACTCAGGAGCCAGAGATCAGGAGGATCTTGGTTCAAGGCGAGCCTCGGGAAAAAGTTACTGAGACTCCCATTTCAACATACATTCTGGACGTGACTGTGCCCTGCTGCTTGGAGAGGGGCGGTGTGGGCAGGAGGACTGCGGCCCATGTGGACCCCAGGCAAAAATTGGAGACTCTATCCAAAAAGACCAAAAAAAAGCAGAAAAAGGATTGGGGGTATGCATGAAGTGGTAAGAGTACTTGCCCAAGCACAAGGCCCTGAGTTCAAGCCTCAGTACCATCCCCCCACCAGAAAAAAGTGCATGTTAAAATGCATTCTGTTCATTTTGATTTTTTCCCAAGGGGTCCAAATGAGTCTGTAGAGTAACTCTGTTATGTGTTAATGCCCCAATTTGATGTGATTGAAAATCAGTTGAGCGATGCTGAGAAATTTACACACAACTTTACGATAGTAAATGGTTAACTTTTCAAACTTGATTACAATGTGGGGCACTGCACGTGCTAGACAGATACTGTTCCACTGAGCCACGTTGCTAGTTCTTTCACACTGATAGGGTTGGGAAGAAAATAAAAGTCCTCCAGATTTGAGTTTCTTCCAGAACTCGATCTAAGTCTGTCAGATTTGCTAATGTGCCTTCAGTCTGTCCGCATCAGAATCCTCTCATGTTATTTGCTATTGAGGGGCAGCTTTCTCAGTCTGCTTTGTGTTGACTAGAACAAAATACCTGGTACTGGGTAATACATGAAGAAGTTGAAGTCCAAACAGCATGGTGACCAAAGCCACCTAGCTGTGTCACATACACATGGCAGAAATTCGGAAAGGGAATTGGCTGTGTGCAGGAGGGGCACATGGGTTACTGGGATGCAGGAGAGCAGGGAGGCAGCAGGTTAGCTGCTGCTCCAGGAATGAACGGGGCCCGGGAGAAACTCCTTTAATGCTGTTGGATGGTGGTGCCTGGTGGCCTCATTACTTTCTGCTAGGCCTTACCTCTTAAACCTCCCATCTCAGTACTACCTCAGGGACTGAGCTTGCCACTCATGCCTTTGAGGTGCAGCAGCAGAGTGTGGTGCTTTTAGAAGATTGGCCTAGAGTGGTATCTTTCAAAATGAGGGGGCTGAGGTTGAAGCCTAAATCCCTCTCTCTAAAGATGAATTCTTTTAGTAAGTTAACTTGTCTTAGTGTTTTGGAAATGCTTTTACAACACTTCACTTCAGAATCCAGTAGTCCTTCCTACAATGGGAGTGAGCCAGAAAGGGAAATGTGCAGAGCACAAATGACTAGTAAAAGCACTAACTGCTATTCTTAGTTGATGTGGGAGTGAAAAGTTTTTTAACTAACATGATATGCTCCTTTCATTGACATGCATTTCGGTGTGAGACTGACAGCACTAAGGTCATTTTCTTGGGAGGTATCAGTGTATCCAGTGTTAAATGTCAAGTGCACGAACTTGAGCAAGTTCTGGTTCTTGGAATGCAAAGAACTTGTTACTGAACTTAGAATCCTGATTAAATGGTTTTGACACTTTTCAAAATTCTTTTTTCTTTCAGCGAATTGTGAGTGCGCAGAGCTTGGCCGAAGATGATGTAGAATGAGAAGCGAATCGACATAATAAAAATCTCAGTTAAAACGAGTTTTTAAATTCTTAACTTGGAAGTTGAGCAGCTCTTGGGGAGTAAGGGCAAATATGCTTGTTATGGACTGTCCTACACTGAAATCTACCAAAGTTGATGTTTACTTTGTGTAGATCCATTGTCTGTTTTATTTATTTTTTTCCCAGTAAAAAGTGTATTTTGATAGAAAGCTTTTCCTTTTATAAATACACTCTGAGTTACCAAAATATCATGGATTTCGTTTATTCCTTAAGATATGTGATTAAAATGTACACATACAATAGAACATTACTTAGGTTAAAAATATCCCGGGGTCAGCTTTAAAAGACAAATGTGTGGGAGATAGCTGAAGAAGGCACATATAAGCTAGCACATGTTACTGCATATCAGAAACTTGGACAAAAATGTGTTTGTGAACACTGAGCATTAAAATCTTTGAGAAAACATTTTTTTTCCATTTTAATCCTGTAGACATGGGAAGTGTGCTGCTGTGCTGTACTAGTGACTTCACCCATCCCTGTGCATTAGTCTTGCAGCTTTGTTTAAGTCAGTGGGCTCTGGGTACTTAACCTGTTTGTTTTTAAGTATGTGTAATTGTAAGTGGCACCCGGAATTACATGTATCTACACCCTAATCTGGCCGTGTGAGCTTTGCTGCTTTCCTCATTCATAAAACAAGGCAGTCAGTTCAGTCTACTGATTTGCCAAGTCTCCCTTTCGGCTTCTAATTCATTTGATTCTCTCAAGCATCTTCAGATGCATCGTCATCTGAGCAGTGCATTGGAGCAACCAGGCCTTGCATTTTTTTCTGTTTTGAATTTTGCATGCTTGCCTGACTTAATATTTGCAAATTGGTCTTTTTCCAGTGGTATAGCTGTTTTGTTGATTTTCACTGAAAGAATTGTCACTGTTCTGTAAATCTGAAACCTAACTTAAAGTACCTTAAATGAGATGGCCTGCTTGTAAAAATGTTTGTTGTCTCTTTGCTTTTATCTTCAGTGTACCTCTTGAATTGTGTACTTCAGCTTGCTTAGTCAGTCTTACCAGTGAGAGGTGTAATCTTATGACTAAAGACTTGAATGGAGCCGGTAGGACCTCTTTTTCTCAAATAGTGGCATATTGTGTGCACAGACTGTTTAGTAAGAGAAGAAAGATCGTTCTGATTGTATGGGCGCAGTGTTCTGTCTAGTCGTTGGTGAAGAGGTTCCAAAGACTTTCCCAGTGCACTGGACTTCATTTATTTGGTCTTAATTTCACACTTTCCCTTTGGGTTTGTTGTGATTGTGGTGTGGAAAGAGTGGGGAATATGGTTCTAGTTAATGCCTCTGGTTAACCAACCGCACAGGCGTGGACAGTTCCCCTCCTATCTCTGACCTTACCTCTAGCATTCTCACTGGAGAGCTAGTGTTGGGTCAGGAGGTGCACACTGGCAGGCCTCTTCCTGAGGCGCCTTCCACGCTTGTGATCCTGAACCCTTAAACACTGTTCTTGTCAGTGCAGACGTGCTCACTAGCGACCTGTACTGATGGGCTCCCCAACCCAAAGTAGTGTGGACTGACTGCACGGCCAAGAAATAGCCCTCCACTCCAGGCCAGATGTGGGTGGAGGGCAGAGGAAGAGTGGGCCCATAGAAGTGAGGGCTGGCTTGCCGGGGAGAGGGCCGGTCTAGATTGGTGGAGTGGGGGGCTGCAAAGACCACCTTTGGGAAGTGTAATGCAGTGTGCACTGGGGGTGGATGGCTCTGAAGATTGGCGGCTCTATAACACTGGAAAGGGCGACCATGCAGCTTCTTCACAGAAATCAGATGTGTCTTCCCCCCGCCCCCCCAACGTGATTGCTGAACACTATGTGTCCCAATCGGAAGCCTTGATGCTGGCTCATGGTGTTTGGAGGTGAAAATGATGAGGTCCTGAGCGTGGTTAACAGCTCGACTGCCCTGTGCACTTAGGTTGTACATGTGTCTGGGATCTTTGGAGATGGGATGTATATATGGAGATGGGGCACATGGCCCTGGGCCGTCTGCCCTGCAGTTTGTACTTAACGTGAAAGAGTTTAAAATACAGACCTTCCTGGGGTGACAATGCCACACTGAACAGACTAGAACTGCGTTCATGTAACCCATGTACATGTAGTATGTAGGACTGAGTGTGGCGTGCACGATCGTAAATGTGTGTGCTATCCCTCACCTTTATGACCTTGTTAATGAAATGTTACTGCAGAAGAGATTATGGGAAAATTGGTGTGTCATGCAAATAACATGCTGAATTCTCTCTTGTAATATAAAACATGAAATTTTGTTACTGCTTATGCCTCGGCTGTTTAAGTGACTAATAAAGGGCTTGGAGAACATTTTGGCTTGGTGTGTATTTGCCGAGGTGAGCTCTGCTGTTCGGAGACCAAAGTAGAAAGCACACTTAAACCATTTTTAGCTTATCGTTGCTTTGAGAATGTCCAGAGCCATATAGCCTCTCTTCTCACAAGGCACATTGAAGCTGGGCACCGGTGTCTCACACCTGTAATCCTAGCTACTCAGGAGCCAGAGATCAGGAGGATTGTGGTTTGAAGCCAGCTCAGGCAAATACGTTTTGGGGCCCTATCTCAAAAATACCCAACACACATAAAGGTTGGAGTGGCTCAAAAGTGGTACAGTGCCTGCGTAGCAAGCCTGGGCCCCTGAGTTCAAACACCAGTGCAGCTACAAAAGGGAGGGGCACATTGGCCTGTGACTTCTAGGGTGGGGTGTCTCAGATCCCAGGTTAAGCTGCCCAAGTGTTGCAGGTGAGGGATTCTGAGTAGTAGTAGGAAGTCTTTCCTGGATGCTTGCTGGCTGTGTTCACACATCAGGTGCTCCAGCACTGAGCAGTGGCTGCTGGTGGCAGAGTGGGGTCCTGCAGAACTAGTACTTTGTTGACTTGGACAGAATATCAGTACCCATCCTTATGTTCAAGGTAGGCTATTCCATTTAAATGTATTTTAGGAAATTTCAGCTAGTCCATCAACTAGACAGGTTCATTAAGCAAAATTACATTAAGCATTTTACTTTTTTCCTTTTCCATATTTGAAATCAAAAGGATTTCCCCCTTTCCAATACATTCATGCACATAACTTTTTAAAGGCTACCTGTTCTGAACAGCTCAGAAGATACAGAGCTACTTAACCTTATTTCCATTAATATAGATAGAGAGTTGGGTGCCGTAATGCACACTTGTAGTCACAGCTACTTGGAAGCTTAAGGTGAGAATCATATGAGCCTCTTAGTTCAAGATCACTCTGGGCAACATTCAGGCCTCATCACCAAAGAAAAAGTGGAGTGGATTGCTTTGACAGAGCTGAGAAGCAGGGTAGGAAGTGGGTGGAGGGTGTGGGGGTGAAGCCCAAGGCCACGGTGCATCTGGAGCACCCTCCAGAAAGGGTGGTGGTCCTGTGCCCATGTGAGGTGTCAGGTGCCATGCACCAGCAAGTGATGGGAGCACAGGCCTGGCTCTTGCTGCACCTCACTGAGGTGAGGAGCCCATGTAGCCCCGCCATGCCTGTGTTGAGAAAGGAAGTGGATCCAGCCAAGCAGCCCTTTTGATTGGCTTCTTGGTAGGGTGGCTGTCTTGGAAGTTGTGAAGGCAGAACCCACAATAACAGACAAGACCAGCCCCAGAGAGGCTGGGCAAGCTTATGCAGTGCCCTTGGGCTGTTCTCACCACACGGGTCACACTTCCTGGTGTGAAGAGGACAGCCTTGTGGTCTGGCAGTAATACCAGCATCCGTTCCTAAAAGGTCTTCCATACAAAGGTTCAGTTCCTTGTTTTAATTAGGGTTCTAATGGGACATAATAGGATCCTGACTTAAGAAATAATGGAGGGGAGGCAAGGAGGATCTTGTTCAAGATCAGCTTGGGCTACACAGACCCTGTCTGAAAAAGAAAAACAAGGGCCCTTTTCAGCTACTGAGTTAGGTCTTCAAACGGACAGCTCCCTCCCCCTCTGCTGGGACCCTGGCCCTGGTGGCTGCAGGTCCACATACAGTCACCTGAGCTCCAGTGTGCATCCCTGGGAGGCAGGCAGAAGCTTGGGTCTGCCCTGGGATGGGTGGTAAGTGGGAGATTGAGGACAGGCATTAGGAAAGGTGACTTAACTGCTCCTGCTCTTTGCCCACCTGTTTATCAGCGAGAATTAAGGGAGTTGGAAAGGCTCTTTTTTTAATGGGTTGAAGGTAGTTTTCATCAGTTGAGACCACGAGCAAACCAAACCAGATGGCCACCATGTAAATCAGGCTGTACAGGGAAGGGATTCTTACTGTGACAATACAGGGCCTGAGAAGAGGTTAAGAGCACAAGGCAGTGGAATTTTGTCAGCCTTTCATCATCTGTTTTGCAGTAATGGGTTCAAACTCAGGGTCTCCTCACTCACGCTAGGCAAATTAAAAGAGCCGCACTCATGCCAAGGCTTGGGCACAACCCACCTGTTCTTCAGGTGAGGAGAGAATGTACCTGGCTTGGGCACACATGTCCCTTGGGCTTTTCAGGGGTGATTCTGATGACCACAGACTTCATGAAGCATCTAGGTGCTCATGCCTGTTCCCTTGGAGTGAGTTCCCATGAAACAAAAAGACAGGCGGCGTTGCTATCCTCTAATCCCAGCACTGAGGCAGAGGGTCGCAGCTCAAGGCCTGAGCTACACAATGAGACAGTCAAAACAATAATAAAAAGGAAGCAAAAGGAGTAACAGGTGAGTTGTGTGTGTGGACAGGTAAGAATGGGCTTCCCCTGGAAAAAAGTGAAAGCTACTGACTGGGACACAGAAATTAGTGTCCCTCGCAGAGGACTCTGGGTAACTGAGTTTCTGGACACGGGACCAGCTATCTGAGGAGCAAAGTGTGTCAGGTAGTATTTTTATGAAGGATTCACTTCTCCCTGCATTCCATCCAATTTTGCACGGCATTGACAAGGTTGCTAGGTGTGCTGCCCTAGACCTTGGATGCTTATCGGCGTCACTGCCAGGAAGACACCTGGGTGACTTCAAGTCAGGAATGGCTGAGTGGACATCAGGGGTCGTGTCCTCCAGTTGGGTTTCCAGCCACTGCAACTTGGAAATAGCAGGAACCCCACAAGGTGAAGGCAGACAAGAGGCAGGCGCCCTCTGGTGGCAGTGCCCCGCCTTGCTCCTGGGTTCCGTGCTGTGCATGACTGCAACAGAAGTATGGTTCTGTAAGTTTTTGCAGTCAGGATAGCC